TACATCAGGTTGCAGAGAAATTGAATTAACCAGCATCACTTAGCACAGCCTTGCTGAGCATATTTCAGAGCAATCCGAACAGAACTCGCCAAGAAATGGAGTTAGCTTGACTATAGCCTCGAGTTTTTGTTCAATCCCGGGAACAGGCGGTTAAACGGTTGTGGATAGCAAAAGCCTCGGCTAACTCCGTGATGATCCTGTTGATGGGTACTTTTTCTCTCTTGTCTAAAATAAAATCACCAACCAGCTTTGAAACTGCTCTATATGGTGGAATGGACTGAAACTCCTGAAAAAAATACATTACTGGTGGAAGGTTGGCTGGAAAGATGGAATTAATGAAAAATAGTGAAACAATTATATAATGTTGATACTAACATGTTTGCTAGATCAGCGGTCCAACTTATCTGTTTATCCCAAATAATGTTGCTATGTTGAGGCAAGGCAGTTGGTAAAGAAAAGGAAAATCTCTGAGGTGTTCTGGGGAAAGGGATAAAGGCTGCTGCATGTACGGAAATGTATCTCTAAATAGCTCTTGGTCTCATACCAGCCCTTGACTGATTCTTGTAAAACGATTGCTGTTTCCATCGTGTAACCTGTAGAAGCTTCCTGAACATGCGGCTGCAGCATCGGAAATGCAAATGATGTAAAAACCTCTTCATCTCGCTGCACTCCAGGCAGTAACTCCATTCAGTAGGTTAACATGAGTCATCAGTACTCCGCTGCCTCCCTGCAGGACTGTTCAATAAAGGAGAGTTTTGGGCTGCTGAGAGACCCATTTTCAACTCGGTTAAAGTCTCTGTGTTCACCAACTCCCGGGAGTATCTGCTGGATGGCTCATTGCATCCATTAATAATCGAAAGAACTTTACACCTTTCCAAAGCAGCTGTATTACTGTATCTTAAAGGAATGGAAATAAGAACTTCTAATCTAATCTATCCAGCATTTTATGGATATGTTAATGCATTCATTTCCTCTCAGTTAGATTTTCATGATTGATACTTAAGTCTCTTCCATTTATTCCTGCACATTTGTCCAATGGACAAGACGTCATAAAAAAAGATGAGAAACTAATGCAAAATGAGACATTCTTTTTTAGTCTATCTTCTTTGGTAGAGAACTTTAAATGCTCATGCCTATGTTGCACACAGAATCTCGATGCATGGCCAAAAGAGAGCAGATTGGCTGAACACAATGGATGAGTGGGATCGTATGCAACCATTGATCGCTTTAAAATAGCTTCAGTGGACAGCGCGCCTTTAAATGTGATGAGCTCGCAGTCAAACAAAGCTTCTGTCAAGTGTTTGTTCAGACAGGAAGATGTGTTTCAGCTGCATCCAGTGACCTGTCCTGTCACCGAACATACTCTGATTCACAATATATGTCAGCAGTTAAAAAGCCTGGAGCATATTTTTATTTTGATCATCTTGCTGGTGCTGACTGGCACTTGCATTTGATGATGAAACACACCAACCTTTGCCAAAGTTTCCTTATTATCTTGATAAAACCATCTTATTCATGGTATGTGCCTAAGTTCCATACCAGATGTCTCACCTTTCTCCACATATCAACATAAACAACTGCAAACACAGATATGTCTGAGGCTGTCTTCGGTTCCTGCTGAGGGCGATGTTGTTTTCGCCTTCCACATTAGTTGAAACGGTGATTTAAATAGAGCCGCTACTCTGACACGGACTGTTGATGTCTGAGCAGTGAACTACAGATGTTTACCTACGAGCTCAGTGACATCTAGACTGAAAAAAGAAAAGGAAAGAAAAGAGCAGACTGCTGTAGTTTAGCAGAGCAGAAAGATCAACCACTTCATTAGCATAGTGCTGCCATAGCAACAAGAAACCAAACTGGAGCCCACAGCATTGGAAGGAGGGATGACGGGGAGAAGATTGGAGAAAAGATGGAAATTATGTGAAGGAAGAGTGATAGAAAAATGATTAAAGATTGGTGGAGGAGATGGAGAAAAATAAGCGGAAAATAAGAAGATTTTTTACAACAGAAGGGAGAAAGAAAGGAATATAATAGAAAAATATAGAAAAATAAACAGAAGAAAATGGGACAAAGAAGAGGAGAAAAAGATGGAGAGAAAAGGGGAGTTTGGATGAGAAAATCCAAAGAAGAAAAAAGATGAGGGGCTTTAGTAACAGGGGACAGATTATTGGCTCAAATCAGAGAAGTAGACACAAGCAAGAGGAAAAACAATAAGAGGTTGTACGGAAAGAATAAAGAGGACATTGAGGGAAGAGGGAGAAAATGTGATCGAAACGGATGCAATAAAGCACAAAAGGAAAGGGTAGGAGCAGTGCCGATAAATGAGGAAGAATCATTAGCATTGTAGAGGAGAGGACAAGGAGGAGGCTGCTTAAGGAGATAGATGACAGAGCAAGCTCCTTGGTTTGACTTCCAGTGCTTTATCAATTGGTGCTCTCTTTATCCCCTTTTTCTGCTTCTATCATTACATCGATGTAATTAAATACATTTGCTATCCAATAATACTACACACACATTTTCACAGCCCACTCCCCGATAAGAGGATTGAACAAGCAGAGTGCCCGTGTGTGTGCGCTAAGGTCACATCTTTTGTTGCTCCTCGAGGTTGTTAACAATGTGAGTTGGAAGGAGACCCAGGATTAACAGAGTAGAGCCCAACATCCCGTAAAACAAAAGCAAAGAAGGCTCACATCCTTTCATATGTTATATTATGCCCATTTTTCCCATCTAATGAAGGCTGAGAGATCAGGTGCCAACCTCTTGTCGCTCTTTTTTTCCCAAACAGATTTGAATGAAATATTCAGCTGTTTTCTAAAAATTAGACTAAAAGGGATTTTTTTTTTAAATGGTTCATTAGTGAGTGAAAAACATTAATGGTATGGAGAGTGTTCTCTGTGAAAAGCAAAAACCTGAAGCAAGAGCAAAAACATCTTTCAACAGCGTTTTTTCTTTCTTCTAACCACTTTCTTTTTCTTTTGCCATGGTAAAAATGACTGCGGAACCTGTTATCATTGATATTGAAAAAGACTCAAAAACTGGGACAGGGACTGCATACATTATCAATTTCCTTCTATTTTAAAATCCACATTATGTTTTATGTCCAGGCTACAGTTTCCATATCCTCCAAACATATGCCGACGGCATCTTTTATTGATTGTTTTAACTCACCAAATTATTTTTCAAATTAGTAACTTTTAGGAAGAGAGAAAAGTGTGCCAAATCTCTAGAAGTGGCAGAATATCATGACAGATTGTCAGCTCCAGGTGCTGAACTGGTTGTCTTTGGCAGTTTGCGTCTTTAAGCTTTTAGCTAAATGATACCAGTCACGTGACCATGTGTGAAGCTGAATGTGCTACTCTGAGCCGGATGCTTATCAAGCCGATTAATATCCTTAGAAGCTTGTTTAGGGAAAACATGACTTTAGCATTAACTTAAACACATGTGTGTAGTTGCTTCTTGTAATGGATAACATTCTGTGTGAAGGCCTTTTATAGGAAACTAATATATGATGCATGGATTTGACCAAGTTTTAAATGATCACCCAAGAAGTATGCATGAGACCGGAGAGAGGGAAATAAACCAGGAAGTATTTATAAATGCCTGAATAGGAAACCTGAAAGGTGGGGAGATTGCCAAGCACACAAGAAGATTTGGCCGTTTCTTAGTCACTCAAGAGGGTAGCTGAAGGGCCAACAGGGACAAACAGCCTTTGGTGCATGGCCAACAGTATTAGTAGTTGAGCTGTAATGGGATGTAAATGGAGGCGACCTGAGCAGCAGAAGCAGCCGCAGACTCGTGAGGGCAGGATGTTTTCTTTGGTTTGTCATAACACACCACAGACGATTATTAAAGTTGGACTGAATGACCGGAATGAGGTTCACTGCAGGGAATTTTACAGCTGGAGGAAAAGAGAAAATAGTTTTGTGATTTTGTGATCTGGTTACACTGCCGCCTTGAAACTTATAATTGTTTTAGGTACTTTTTAAAAAAGCTCCTCACACCAATATGAAACCAATATGAGTCACAACCAATAGCCAATTACAATTTCCACCAGCCAATACATAGTTTCTGAGCTTAACTGTGCCAAGTAACTACTTTTTATATGCATTTAGGGGTTGTAGATTGCATAAGAGCCTTTAATGCTATTGTACGTCAATCAGATAGGAAAACTGACAGCTAATAAACAAGTAACACTGTTCCTAATGCTTTAATGCAATGTTTTGTGGGTCAACTTCCGTCTGGCAGTCACAGCTTGGATGTTACTTGGATGACACTTCCCATCTGCCAGCACAATTTTGTCGACCGGTCCTGAATACAACAAACAATCTTAGGATTTCAACCTGCTTCTAAACCCTCGAGACAGCAATCTGATGGAGTCTGACAGCATCTGTAGGAAGCCAGCCCAGACCACAAAGATTTGGCAACCCATAGTGACTGAAGGATTTATTTCAAATATCTCTCTGCTTGACACACCAGTAAAATTACTTTGCTGTTGGTCTCAATGGTTTGAAGAATCTTTTTCTGCGGGCAAGATAACATCTAGTTATAATAATTTCCTACACCGAAAATCAAAGAGCACCAAGCAATCACAGGTATGTCCAGAATATTTAGCCAGTCCTCCTGATACGGTTAAACCAAAGTCGTATCATGTCCTGTTATTGGCATAACATAATTCCTGGCAATCTTCTTTGCAGTCATAAGAACAGATTTCCATTAACTCATTAGCCAAACAGCCGTGATTTGCAGTTTTCATATCCAGCCAATTAAGAGTTGCAGGTAAACAGCTCTGAGGAGAGCTCCTCATTAAATCAGACCGAAACTTGTTTTTTTGTGTGTTTTAAAGATTGTATACCCTGGCAGCATTATGTCATTAATGTGGTTCACCCACAGGTGATGAGACCGACGTCCTTGTTTTAATCTGAAAGCCATAATATGTTTATGGATGTATTATATCTTTATGTATTTAATTCAAAATCTCTTTCTTTTCGCTCCCACTTTAGTTTGTGGCTCAGCCTAACTGCCAGCAGCTACTGGCCACTCTGTGGTACGACGGCTTCCCGGGCTGGAGGAGGCGACACTGGGCGGTCAAATTGGTCACATGCTTTATCATCGGACTGTTGTTCCCTGTCTTCTCACTGGTAAGGAAAACCATGGAGTGGAGGGGCAACAAAGGTCAAGCTAAAAAGCCTCCATCTTATCTTTAACAGCTTTAGCTGTTAAAGAAAGCTTTTATATTTTCTACTGAGTTAAGGAAAATATGTCAATCATGTTTCCTTTTATTAGATCAGAGTTTATTTAACCCCGTCTGCACCTTTGCAGGTCTATTGAAGCATTTCAGCAGCTCTTGCTTTACTTTCCATCCACAGTTCCAGACCAAAAAACAAAACAAGCTAACAAAAATGTCTTTTACTTTCACCAACTGTCAAATAATATTTTAGCAATCTGATTTTGGATTGATGGCTTTTGCTGTAACTTCAGTACTGATGTGTTTAGTATATTTGAGCAGAGTGTGTGAGCTGCATTAATCAGAGTGCTGCCTCCATGTGCTCACATATCGGTGTGTGAATAATGTATATAAACACACCCCTGTGTCACAATGCTCATTGTTTCTGAAAGCTTCTGCAAAATTCAGTGCCATTTAAATTTTATCAAGCATGACTCAGAGAGAGCTGAGGTTGCCAGGAGCCGGTAAATGAGCAGAATGAGCAAAAAGCATCATAACAGGAGTAACAGTGACATCACCGGAAAGAGGTCTGATAGAGGGAACAGCTCAGGGTGATCTGTGGTCTGCATATACTGTATGTGGGGTCTTTTTCTCTCTGCCCCATGAACAACACTTTGATGTACAGTGTCAGTGCATTTTCTGTAAAATCTTTTTTTTTTTTTCTTTGTACCTATCTTTGACCTCCTCTTCTTCAGATCTACCTGTTAGCTCCAAAGAGTGCTCTGGGAAACTTCATTAAGAAGCCCTTCATTAAGTTTATCTGTCACACAGCGTCCTACCTGACCTTTCTCTTCCTGCTGCTGCTGGCCTCACAGCACATCGCCCGCACCAACTTGCACATGCAGGGACCCCCACCCACTGTCGTGGAGTGGATGATTCTTCCATGGGTGCTGGGTGAGTTTTTCTTACATTTCAATCCTGGCTTTGATAAACAAGTCATCGGTTCTGTTTTTTATGTTTATCCAGCAAAGCGTTTTATTCTGCCAGAATTTGCTTTGCGATTTTAACAGATGATTTCTTTCTTCATCTATTTTTCTATTAGGCTTTCGAGTTGTTTGTCAAGTATTGAAATACATCTACAATAATAGGCTGGCCTACTGTTACAGTCATTTCTGAAAGCCTTGCGTTACCCATATAATTAACCTCCCGTGCTTTATGTTGGTCTCTCATGATCCCAAATGCTTCATCTGTTAATATGATTCATTTTTAATACAACTGAGCAGGACAGATTTCAAAATGATACAAGGTCACTATTAATTATTTGCTTTGTTTATGACAAACTAAAAATGAATTTTTCCCTTTGATGAGATATACTTTTATGATAACGACAATAGTTCCTGTCGGTATCGTTGTGTGACTTTGCTGTGGTCTCTGGGAATAAACTGTGCATACCAGTTTTTCTTATAGACATTTCTGGCACACTGAGCACCACACGCTGATTTCCACTCAGTTTAATCTAGTCATAGAGGGAGCAGACATCTCCACAGCCAGTATGTCCAACACTTCATTTGGGGGATTGGGTTTCCTTTTAATCACAAAGGAGAAAATAAGCAAATGAGACGGAAAAAATCAGGATATAGGACAAAAGTAAAAGTTTTGTCCTATGTTGTCCTAAATATCTCAGCTCATCAGATGTCTGAGACAAGACAGTATTCCTTGATTTGGATGAGCAAGGAGAATGTATTCAATTAATTTGGATAAGGAATTAATTTAAAGAAGCCCGTCAGCATACATACAGAGAGTCAGATGAAACACTGACCTAATAAGATATACCACTATGATAATAAACTCACATCTGGTGCAACAAATAGACCTTACAAATAAAAGCAGATTGAATGAAGGCAGTCCCTGTCTGAATGAATTAAAAGATTTCAAAAAAGTAACTTGTCTCTTTCTTTATTCCCTTGATTGCTAATCATCAGAGGCCCTGAGTAGTATATATGTGCACAGAAGTGTGTGGTTGGACGCTTGCAAGTACGTGGAGGAGGCGGCTGTGTGTATGTACAAGTGGGTGTGGGTGGGTGGGTGCGAAAAATGAGTGGTTCCATTCCCATCTCCTCGCACGGAGCTGCCACCAATCATCTGAGCCGGACCGTAATCACTGTGAAAAACACAAAAGCGTCTATTCGCCGGCTCATCTGCCCTTACAGCGTTTCTCTCTGTGCGACGGTCTCCACAGACCGCTTCGGACAAAACGCAAGAGGTCGAATTATGAGCTGGTTGAGCTGACAGAATTGTATACAACTTCGCTGTTTGTGAAGTTGTGAGGGAATAAACGCAACATTGCTTTGACGGGACGGTGCTTGTTGCTTATGAATGCAGTTTGTGGAAAACTGCCGTGCATCAGTTTATTAAACCCCATCAGGAACATTTGAATGTAGAAGCTGTACTTGGAGGATGCTAATAAGTACCTAGGTTTTTATATGTCTGATCACAGCACGTTTTTACTGTATGGCTGCCCATTCCCAATGCCTTTGAGCACAGAAGATATCACCCTTTGAGAGGGTTAGCATTTGTCTTTTTTTACTGTAGAGGATGCTCTCCCTGGTTAGGAGTGCTTGACAGTCCTTTTGTCTTCCACGTCTTTATATCTTCTGCTGATTTATGATGGTTTTTGTATGCAACTCTAGATGTAATGTAGAATCTTTTGTGTAGTGTTTTGCGTTTTTGGAAAAATGTGCATTTCCCATTATTATTCCCGAGTATTGTTGCCAAACGGTTCAATGATTTTCTTACATGTTTTTAAAAATGAGCGCCTCTGCCTGTCTTTGCTCAGCGGCTTTGCATTTCATGGTTGCTGCTTTTGTATTATCTCATAATTGCAATCATTTGTAAACATCAGTTGTTTTCAGTAGCATTATTTATTTTTCCTCTAGTAATTACACTGAGTTGCTCACTTGCCCGTTTTTTTTTGTTTGTTTGTTTGTTTCAGGCGTTTAAATAAAGTTTTTACTTTTTTCATGGGATGATGTGGTGCAGAAGGTAATGTGCAGATATGAGCCTTTTGAACCCTTCCTAAGCCTTTTTTTTTGTCTGCTGGTCCTTGTGTTCATGGTTACTGCATATTACTCCAGCCAAATTCCCACTAAAGCTGCTACCATTAAAAGCCAATTACATTAGTCTGAAATTATGGCTGAGCAGCACCCCATTAAGGGGTCATTTTTTATTCAGGAATATGATTTGGAATTCATTACTAAAATCATTGCGAGAAGTTTTTGTCTCTATAGCTAGAATGCTCCTAATATTTTCATCATGGAAAAACACTAATTTACTTGACCTAAAACAGTAGATCAAGTAAAAATAGACAAAAGAAATCACCATATGTCGTCTGGTTTAAGTAGCTCATCCTCATCTAAGGGTGTTGAATTTGGCGGGTGTTATCGTTAAATGCTGACCCAACATGCCAAAGAGGCAAACCGTTCTGCACAGGGACTAATGTCAAGCTTAGGGTTCAAGCCAAGCTAACCAAAGCCAGTTAGCACAGTCCTACAGCCTGATATTCCAAGAGGAGCAGATTAAATTGAATTGTTGTCTAAATTATTTAGAATGGAATGAAGTGGCTCCAGAATTGTTCCAAAGCTTTTCCATGGCTGCTCCTGATCCTAAAACCTTATGACACAGAAAAGAGACTGAGCTTTAAAGTGCGCTCAGACATGAACAACTCTCCACGTTTGTGTTAATGATGCCTTTTGTGCGTTTTTGTATGTGTGTTTGCACGTCCCAGGCTTCATTTGGGCAGAGATCAAGGAGATGTGGGATGGAGGATTCACAGAGTACATCCATGACTGGTGGAATTTGATGGACTTTGCCATGAACTCTCTCTACCTGGCCACCATATCTCTGAAGATTGTGGCCTACGTTAAGGTAATCCTGCCTCATCTTGTTTGAAAGAGGGGAGAAGAAGGGGAATCAAGGTGCTGTAAAACATTCAAAGGGAATTCATGATATAATGGATGTTTCAGGGTCTCACGGGGAAATGAATCCGAGTGGTATGTTATGGCATGCAGTGTGAGTTACAATACACTGTATTTTTGTTTGTTCTGTGAAATGGGTTAGAAATTACCACTGAATTCAACCTTAGTGGCACTATTAAGCCAGATCTCTATAATGACATAATGGATGGGTGTGCAAGGATTTTGCCAGGGCCAGAAGCCAAGTGTTAACAAAGGCAATAAACAGTAGAATATTTTCTCCCTGAGTTTCTCAGGAAGAAAATATCTTCAGAAATTTAAAGATTCAGACAAATGCCACCTATATAGAACACAAAGAACATCAATAAAATATTTTTCAGATCAGAGCAAAACTTTCCCTTAAAGAGATTGTTGCAACAAAGGTGCCTTTGTGCCAGTTTACCAAAGGCAGAAAGAGTTCTATTTAGTTTTTTTAAGCTATCACCAGCGATAAAGACCTGAACTAAGCAAGGAGACAGCAATAACCCCGCTGTATTCTCTGATTACACCCATCTCTGGGCGCAACAGGAACATTTGAAAACACAAAAAAAGAAGACAGTTTGATCAAATAAAGTAGGGATTTAGAAATATTAATTTAAATATAAAAATATTTTTTTTTCAAGGATTTTAATAAAAAAATCTGATATAACCACTCGAAACTTGCCTTGATATTGAACTGAATTGACAGCTATTATTTACTCCCAACCCCTTAAACTTAAAAAATTGTCAGCAATAAAGCGACGGACTTGAATTGATGTTCCCAACAATCTTTAATATGCTATGGTTACGCCTGACGCATCAATCACCGAAAGTGCAAACTGTGTCCCAAACACAGCACCTGTTCAGCCTTTATTCTTACTCTTACTCTCTGAAATTCTCTGATAAATGCAGCTCCTTTATTCCAAGACAAATACACAGCTGCTGCACAGGACAGAAGAGAACAGAATGTTCAGTAAAGGGCAAAGTTTGCAGCGGATGTTCTCATCTTTTCCAAATATTTCAGAAAATTTGTTTCTCTGTGCAATTTTTAAATCCAAATTCTCCTATTGTAGAAGTTATCATACAAAAAGAGCCTGCTAACAGATGCGTGTTTTCGGTTTGTTCACCTTGCCAATATGCCATCCACACTGCATGTGTTAAACAAGCGGAGAGCGGCATGGCCTGAAACGGGCAGTTTTCAGACAGCATTCTCAGGACTTAAACATCTTAAAGGCTTTTTTGTTATCTGACATGCTACAGTATAGTCCTGCCACTGAAGACTGGGTTTTATGATGCTTTGACAAAAACGACCACGCAAACATACCCATCGTTCCCAATGCAATAAAGCCTACTGACATAGGCAGGCCGAGGCCAAGAGAAAAACTGAAAAGGTCTTAGTCTTGGTTAGCTACCAAGCCCGACCCTTGGTGGAACACAACTGGACCCTATGTTTCTTTGGCTTTTTGGGGCCCACTTATAGGTAGAAGTTTTAATGTGGCTATAAATCCAAATTATTGGTATACAGACATATGGACAAACATGGAAATAAGCCAAACTCTTTTTTTCCCCGTTTTTAAGGGATATTTTTTCTAATAGCTGAAGAGAAACAAGACATTTCATAGGAAAAATCCGACTGATAGAAACGTGAACATCGGTCATGATAACCTTTAGATAACAACACACAGCAGTGCTGTTTGAATATAACTGTGTCCCCCCTTGATTTTCCTCCCCAGCACATCCTACACCTTTGATAATACTTTGTTTAGCGGGACGCGCTTGTATGGATGCAAACAAGACTCAACTTTTGCATAGTGTAACCATGCACACTCACACACCCCAGACGGCTGGGCCATCTGTGGCAGCTGCGAGTCACCGATGGTGGCCTTCCCACACGTACACATGCACTACAGTCGCATACATTATAGTCGCATACAGTGTTGGGTAAGTTACTTTAAAAATGTAATCCGTTACAGTTACAAGTTACCTTGTTTAAAATGTAATTGTAGTGTAACTTTTTCGATTACTTTTAAAAAGTAATGTAACTAATTACTTTTGATTACTTTTTGATTACTTTAAGGTTTTAATGAGTATTGACCCATGATTCATTTTAGCATGTAATTATTAGCTATTGGCCGCAGCTAGCAGTTCAAGGCTAACGTCTTGTTAATGATCATAAACAACGTAAATAAATATTTAAATAAATCGGAGACAAGTCAGTCGTATCCGAATACAACATTTTAGTATCTATACTTTTTTAAGTATCGATACTTTTGACAACCCTAGTCTGAAATGTCCGGGAAAAAGAGGAGTTGGCTAGGCTAGGCTAGGCTAGGTCATAGACATCGATAAACGTTTGTAACAGTCAAATATTAGTAAATCAATACGCTTCGTCTATCAGTGAGTTGCATATTTTGCAAAGGTTTTTCTTTATATTTTTTTTAAAAATGTAACTAAATTTGTAATTCTTAATATTTTCGGAAGTAACTGTAACTGAATTACATATTTTCTCATTGTAACTGTAACGAATTACAGTTACTCTTTTTTTGTAATTAAATTACGTAACGTCGTTACATGTAATCCGTTACTCCCCAACACTGGTCGCATATATACAGACATGGGGGGGTACACTACTGTGTGCTGCGTGCACTGACAGCTCTGTACACAAACATGCAGCAGCGGGGACAATGTATTTCCCTTCCATGTGTTCCTTCTCCTTTCAAACATTCATCAACATTTCAAATCCTCAGGAGAACCTGCAAGATTCTGCCCCGTCACTCTGTACGTGCGGGTGAGACAGACAGCAAGAGGCTGCGAGACATGTCATAAATTAATGAGCGTTCATCTGCGCTCATGGTTCTGTTTCCGGTTTTTCCTCCCATGCGTGCGTTTGAGAAAAAAGGTGAACGTTAATAGAGGCAGAGCTAACGAGACAGAATTCCTGCGGAAGTGTAATGGCTGAATTCCGAATGCGGGAGAAGACAGGCACGACTAAACAGAGAGACGAGAACGGGACGAGGGGAGATAAAGAAATTAAAGAAGCAGCAAAAAAAAAGAAAGTTGCAGGAACCACGGATGCTGGGAGAAGTGATGGATGCTTCAAATAAAAACTTTAGAGGTTTAGTTGCTGAGGGGGAGATTAGCGCAACCCAGGCATTGAGCTGGAGATAGATTCTCATTACTACGAGCATTTAAAAGGAGCAGTTTGCAGTAGTATTTTCACTCTCGGCAAAGCTAGTTTTGCCCCTATTTCTGGTGTGTGATTAGAGCTTTTGCGGTTAAATATTGAGTTTTTTTCTCATGAATTACATCATACCAGTAGTGAATGACACAATTAAACAGAGCATTTCATATATTCACAGTGTTTAGAGATCAGTTTTAGGTAATTTAATATATTTTTTTTATCTTTTCTACACAGGTAATATCCATTTTTTATAGACATTCTATGTGAATTGATTACTGCCCTATTTTACTCAATTGTGTTCATTCTACATCTCAACCTTCTATCCTGTTCCTTCCCTTGTTTTGTGCTCCTGTCCTGGTGTTCCAGTATAACTCCTCTCGTCCCAGGGAGGAGTGGGAGATGTGGCACCCGACGCTCATAGCCGAGGCTCTTTTTGCTATCGCCAACATCTTCAGCTCGCTCAGACTCATCTCCCTCTTCACCGCCAACTCCCACCTGGGGCCACTGCAGATCTCACTGGGGAGAATGCTGCTGGACATCCTCAAATTTCTCTTCATTTACTGTCTGGTAAGCCACCTGGAACTCTGATCACTTTCTGCTTGTTCAGTGATCCCAACTCTTCCCCATACCTCTGGACCCCCTGTACTACTCTTTCTTTGTAAAAATGGCCGCAGTAACAGACTGATATTCCTTTTCCCTCGCTACTTACTGTTATCTTTGATGAAGATGAAAGCAAGCAACTTATCCGCATGCTGCACCCTTGACTGGCACCAGAAGGACATTATAGGCCTATTTCATTATACTCAGGACTCATTAATCCCTCCTCAAGGGATCTCCTAACCTACAACACAATCCACATGTGGATTGCTCTATTCCTTATGGCCTTCAAACCAATCACAGCAAGCCCAAGGCACCAACGGAATATTACTTCATCCTCACTCAGTAGCAGCTTTGCATAAGATGTCTTGTGTTGCTTTTGTCCTGTTGGAGATCAAAGCTGTATTTTAAAATGGCCTGAAGGAGCAGAAGATTTATCACCATACCTAAACAAGACATCAAATTAGTCATTTAAAGAAATCTGGATAGTTTTGTTTTCGGCAAAAATTTCAGTATATGTTCAAACATCTGGACTATGAAATTCCCCTTTATAATAGCCTAGTTTGTAAATTCACGTTAAATATGTTTGGGTTTTTTTCTACACAGGTTTTGCTGGCATTTGCTAATGGACTGAATCAACTGTATTTCTACTATGAGACCAAGGCATCAGAAGAGCCAAACAACTGCAAGGGCATCCGCTGTGAGAGGCAGAACAACGCCTTCTCCACGTGAGTACTAACCCAAACAAAGGCCATCTGCGTGTGTTTTTAGGCTTTGGGATGTTGTCCACTCTGAATGCCCTCTATTGTTGGTAAATGATATGCCCCCTACTATACATGACGGCTAAAAAATAAATGACTTTTATCTAAACACTTACAACATGTGGCCTCACACACTTGCTGGTACAGCTTTAGGCTCTTTGTCCTCAGTCTTAAGTGTCTGTCAGTCATTTGTTTCAGTTAAAACGCGGAAAAATCATTTAGGAATGGGCTAAACACTTCCTGGATGTATGTATTTAAGCACAGTGCATTTCGCTAAAGAACTGAACATGCTCCATGGAGGTTCACTCTGTTGTTTTACACCTGATAATCATAAGGAAACAGTTTGGGCTGTCAAGATGAAGCTCAAGCATGAAGAATATTAATGTAATGTTTTTTTACGGTGTGGAGTGGGGAAATTTGCATGGCACGTCGCAGTTTTGCTATAAGACAGAATCTGAATAATGGTGCACGTAGCAGCTCCACAACACACACGCATAGACACACACACACACACACACAGCAGAGGTCCCGAGTGTTGTTGCTGAGCGAGGCAGAGCAAGAGCCAAGCCGAGTCAGTGAGCTGAATTCTGATGAGTTGTGTGGTTTGTTTTAGATAATAGCCGCATTGATTTTTGATCGATTCCATTACTGTAAAGTGCTCAGTGCAACATCGGGGCTATGTCTCTACTTTAAACCATATCTGCTTCATTAACAATATAGTCACAATGATGCATGATTTTAAGATGAATGTAATCTTTAACAGATTATTATACACAGTCAGTACATTTTGGGAGAAGTGATGGCACATTAAAGGGTACATTCGTGTTTATAAAATGAAGTTGTTGTTCTAATAGAGAGACAATAAAGAGGTATGTCAATTTTTTACAGCCCTCCTTTCGTCGTGTATTGTCCTAGTTTATGCTTCAAGTCAGTACAGAGTAGTTCCATTTTTAACCAAAGGGATGATTTTAGTGAAAAAATGTTCATGTCACATTCACACTTTTGACACCTAGTCAAAATATTTATCTGTAGCTGGTCAACATTCACTGTAAAATAAAATCATAGTTAAGAGTTGTTGTTGGGAATAGAATTGACCTCTTGTACCATTGTGTGCTGCAGCAGAATGTTTGTGAATACAGTTTTTTGTCCGATCACCGTGTTATGGAGAGCGTGTTAACTGTAGTCTATAATGGTTAGCTGCTAGAAAATACAGCAGATACAGCCTCACGGAAAGGTGTGTTTAGACTAGGTTTAGGCTTTTTTTGGAATCAGAAATAATTGATCATTTGCATCATCAGTTATGAAACATGTTTACAGCGGGACTTGGTCAGTGAGAGTATTTGTGTGCAAATGCAGCTTGAATAATGGTTAGTCTGAACTGCAGGTTACTTCGGGAATGGAGCATAATGAAACTATACTCAGCCCCCAATGTCTGGTTTCATCAAATGACCTGCTACTGAAGCAACAATATCAAAACCAATCAAAAGCAGGGTAAAGAAACACGAATTGCAGAATAAAAATGATGGTATATGAGGGCTTTGCTTATCTCAGAGCAACAAAACCGTTTTTAGCTCTTTTTACTTAGCTGTTTTTTACACATACAATGCTCTAAATGAAAACTACAGTTTAAGAGGGACCCTTTTAAATAAGAGGAGAACACATGAAAGGGGAAAATAAGTGGAATATGAGAGCGGTAGAGTGAAAAGCAACTAAGCAGTAAAGACTGAGAGATATTCACAGTGAAGAATTAATTCAAATTGAAACCAACCCTTATTACACATTAGCAACGCCTTCAGCCTCAGAGGAGATTCTGTCTAGCCCTGATTGACTGTGCCTGTCGATAACTGACATGATGTCATCCTTCAGTCCAGTGACAGATTGGACAAAAACTTTAAGTAGAATACAGCTGCAAGGCACATGTTATGTTATTCATATGTTCATATAGCTAATTAACCTTTATCCCCTTGGTACCCAAAAAAGAGGCTTGTTCCAGTATGGCAACATGAGAAATGGGTGTGAAAGACCCAGTGGATGAACTGGGAGAGTTTCAGAATGTGTTCTATTTGGATGTAAAACCAGCCTGCCGCAGATTTTTCTGCATATTGGCGTACAGTTTTAAAGATGCAATCAGCTGCAGTGTTGATAAAGTTTAACTCAACACAAATTAATCTAAACCTCAACTATATTGTCGATGGCTTTTGCTTGTTTAGGCTCTTCCGTCTTTGACATTTCATGCAGCAAAGGGAAAACATTGCATGTCATTAAGTCAGTGCTGAGGTGAGACCTGAGATGGTCCGAGTTAAAACTAATCACATGTCCAATCTAAGATTCTGCACCAAACAAACTTTGCAAACATGTTGTCATGGCTGCTGGTAGGATTTCTAGCCTCTGATAAACCAATACTTTTTCCCTTCAAATGTGCAGCTCACATTTACGGCTGAGGTGACGCATTGTGCAAACAGAGAGATTTGAGCCCCGCAGCAGCACAAGTTGCACCACACTGAGTTTGCAGAGCAGAGACGATGCCCTCTGTCTGCCACTGCGTTTATGTGGGATGTTTGGTTCGGTCTTTCACACTCACGTCGCATCATTTGTGAGTTACTTTCACCCGACCGTTTCCCATTTCTGCCCAGGTGTCTCCCGCTCCCTCCTCCTCATCTCACTCATCTGCACTTCACACACACTTATCACCCTTAATGTGTTGGATCGTTTCACACCAAACTGGCGCGCACACTCATATTCTCACTCTCTTATTTGTTTTTACCGCACTCCCTCTTGCCTTTGTCTGCGCACAAGTGCTGTAAATACTCCATCTTGTTTCGCACTCTGCAATTCTCTGTCTGTTTGCTTTTGAACACAGCTCTCCCTCTTTGGGATTTGCAGTATTTTTCTGTGTCTGTCTCTCACAGCGTGTGTGCCTCTGGGTTTATGATTTACCCAAATGTGATCAGGATTTAGATCACCTACTCCAAAATCAGGCTTTTAAAGCTTAACTATTTTTCTTTGGACTGACATAATTCTGTAAACATTTTCCCTTTCCGTTCTTAGACACCAACTAATTAGTTATTGAAACAGAAGACTATCTCCTGTGTCTGCCTGACAGCATTATTGCCCCTGGACATCAGTAAGCTACGGTGAAGAAGTAAAACATTTTTCCCTTGATGAGGGAATTATTTGTCCTGTGACATCTTAAATAATTTGCATTACGGTTACAAAAAAAAAAGCATTTCTTCAAAGCTCAGTACCATTGCTCCTTTAAAAGTGCCTTAATGCAGCTTGTTGAATACAGTAGGGCAACAAGTGTCTGAAAACCCCCCTTTAACTGCTAATATTTACTTTAGATGTGCATTTTTACACGTATAAAAAAATCTGTTTTGCATATGCTTGTAAACCACTGAACAAGTACACTAAAAATGGGAAAAAACTTTAAATCTGTTTATCCATCTGTATGAAATGATTTACATTAAACCTGAACACAGCACTTGCATAATCATAAGGTATATAAGCTTTAGGCTGAAATGAATGAATCGCATGCTGCCGGTTAACCAAATCAAAACATAAAACCACAGTTTGCTGTCTCACACAGAAAGACAATGTTTCTGTGTCACACAGCACACAACACACACACACACCGGGCCTCCGTTCTCGATCCACCTCCCACATAACTGCAGAACTATAGCAGTGAAATGACCGAGTGGCTGAGAGAATCAGCTGCAGCCTTTCATGACTCGTCTTCGTTGGGAGAGAGAGATGAGAGAGGACAGCAGAGAAGCAGAGGCAGAACAGCTGAAGTGGGAATGAAGGAGAGGAGGAGAGTAAATGGGGAAGGAATTGTGGAAATAGTGAATTATACAATGCAGAGAAGAAGATGGGTGTTGGAATTTGGACATGGGAATGGCTGATGTAAGAAAAGGAAAGGAGAGCGGAGAGGGGGAGGTAAGGAGGAGAAAGAAGAGGAAAGAAGCAATGAAATGGAGAGGATACAATAAAAGAAGAAAATAAGAGTAGACTCAAACAAGAGTTATTTACACTTCCAGCTTATTCATATCTGTATGGAAATAGGGACAAAAGCCTTTATATTTGAATGCACCTGGTAGCCCTAAGGGGTCCGTTTTTTTCAAACTGAACTGCAGTGCAGTGCTGGTGACATCACTATTATAGGACTCATTACCATGGTAACCAGGTGAGCTTCTTGCAGAAGGTAGACTAATTTGAACCATTGACCAAAAAGGCCTGGAGGTGTTCTGATTAGCTTTAAGGATTAGGGGAGGGATTGTGATGATGGGGACGCACTCTGAAGGTTGACATGTGCATTATGTATCAACAGTTAATTAACTTTTAATGTGGAATCCAGTCGCTGAGAGGCTTGATAATCATATTTGATGTAAGAATGAAGTTCCAATTAGTTTTTCCCTGAACAAAAATATCTGTGCCCTGTTGGGGGGGGGGAAATCATTTGGGGGTGGAAGTAACCTTTAACAGCATTAACGGGATGTGGCCCCTTTGACGGGGTCAGACTCGTGCTCTGGTTGGAAACCAGTTGGACACTAGCCAAATGGAGACTTTACTACATTTTCTACATAAAACTACATTAGCAAGACCGTATATATAACCCCTGTAAATGTCACTTAGAGGATTTACATCATGATCAATGAGGAGTTCCTCAATCCCTTATTCGTTGTAAATCCAGATGGAAACTTGAACTTTCTCTAAAGAAAACAAACAAGGAAATGATAAAAAAATGATTTCTTGGGTGATGAGATTTGAAAGTTGGCAGGTTATGACTATTATACAACACGGCCCTGCATGATTAAAATCTCACCTACATTAATCTGGACAGTTTTTTTTTTTTTTTTTAATTAGATATAACTTCCCTTTCTGTAAAAAGGAAATGGCAGTTATATAAACCAAAATACCTCCATCCAATTGAAACAAAGACACCTCTATGGCATCAACAGAGCACATTCGGTTCAGGGTTCATAGAGTTAATAACAATAACCATCAATGAACTGCTTTATGCATAAACAATGTTTTAAGGCGTTTTCAGGTTTAGTGAAATGTGATGTTAAGGGTTCCTGAACAACATTTTGTGATAAGCTGGAAGTGAAGATAAGAAACACAGAAATGTCGGAAAAATAGTCGGAAACTTAAAACAAGGAAAGGAGAGGAAGCATCTCGACCACCCGTCCTTTTTGCTCCTTCCTTCCCCTCGTGCACATGTCCTCCTCTCTTTCTTGTTTCATAACTGACACAATATCACGCTTGGTCGCTTCATTCATCATTGATTCAATTCCCCCTCCCCCTGTTCCTCTCCCCATTTACACAACCACCCAAGTCTCTCACCTCCAGACACACACTTAAGAGCACATTTCACCTGGACACGCTCACACGCCATCAATCCGACGCCGTTTATGAGAGAAAAATAGTTTGCACGCTGATTGAGATGGCGGTTCGTCATGCACATGTGCCCAGAGCAATTCTCGGTTCTACCGCACTCTGCAATGAGCATAAATTATGCCGCCTTGAATATTTGATGCAGCATAAATACAACACCCTGCAGACAAACCATCGCCTGTGTCATTCTCTTGATGTAGTGTCGCACGCCGCCAATTGTTGCTTCATCAAAAATTCAATAACCACTGCTTTAGCCGAGACTGTCACAAAGAGACACGGAGGGCAGAGTCGGGCGAGGAGGAAGATAAAACGAGGAGGCTGAGGATAGAGGTCTTGCGTCACAGAGACCTCTGGATGGAGAGTTCGCAGATGGAGTAAAAAAACGGAGAAGAAAGACAAGAATCTAAAATATGGAAGTGTCCCACAAAGTTAATTAAAACAACTTCTTGTTGTTTTTCTAAACTATGATATTTTGCAAAAAAACAACCCAAAATAGTGGTTTAAGACCATACAGAAAGGGTTAAGCTGATAAGTGTAAAAAGCAGAAGATGTTTGGTGGCTAACAAGCTAAGAATAGGGATGGATGTGTAGGTAGATGGGTTGAACCCGTCTTAAACCCATTGATTTATTGAAAAATGAAGGTGGCAGTAACGGAAAGGTTCTCTGCCAGACGTGCCCC